GCGATTGTTAAAACTACAATCATTGTAAGACATTAAATAAAACAATGTTTTTTTAAAATGGAGTTACTGTAATCTTATGTGCAAATCTAAACCAACTTCAATGATCAGAGAATACTTTCATATACCACAGAAACCTAACTAAATTAACTTAAAACACTGAATTATTTCAGGAAGTTGATTAAACATGTAATCAGTGCTGAAACTTTTCTAACACCTAATTAACTAAGAAAAGTGGTACACAAAGTTATGTTTCCAATTTATTTAATAGCACTGTCTCTAAAGGCATTTTCAATTAGCTACATTTTCTTTGGATTTACTCAACTTTTCAAAGTTAGATAAAGCTTTGAAAATAATGTTAAATGGTTATGACTTTGGCAATTTTTTTTTTAAGTAAGGGATTTCTATCTTTTAACCAAGGTATCTTTTTAGTGGAAAGTGGCTGCTATGGAAAATCAATTAGAATGTTATATAACAATCAAAGTTAGTTACATTTGTACACAGAGTCAAATTATATTAGGAGGAGAGAGTTAGAAGCAACTTTTCTGAGTGGGAAGGATTTTCCTTGTAATTGTGGTAAATTTAGACAAAGTATTCATACCTTCTAGCAACAGCAGGTTCTGGAGGAAATTCAGAAATAATATGAAAGAAGATAAAGAAGGAGATACAGATCTTTATTATTATCCTACCTTTTTGCCTGTGAAGGAAACCAAAACAGGTGAGAAACTCACAGGGCCCTTCCGCATCAATTGGAAGAACAAATCAGTATGACTTTTTCCTAGTGTCAAGACAAGGAAAGTATTCCCAAAAGAATAATAAAGGGTAAACTAATAACCACACAGACTCCTACTGCAACCTTGACTGGTCCTTCACGAGGACCAGAATTCTTCCTAATTTTTCCAAATGTTGCTAGTAAAGGCCTCTACCTATTTTCATCGGTGCCTATTTGAAACTTTTACCCTCTCCTCAGCCTATTCTGCTCTTCCCCTTCTCTTTGCACATAATAAGGATAAAATAAAGCACTCAGGTTAATATCCAAACTACATAAAGAACTCATACAACTCAATGGAAAAAAATTTAAAAAGTGGCCAGAGGGGGATGGGGTGGCTGGGTGATAGACAATGGGGAGGGTATGTCCTATGGTGAGCGCTGTGAACTGTGCAAGACTGTTGAATCACAGATCTGTACCTCTGAAACAAATAACGCAATATATGTTAAGAAAAAAAAAGAAGAAGATAGCAGGAGGGGAAAAATGAAGGGGAGTAAATCGGAGGGGGAGACGAACCATGAGAGACGATGGACTCTGAGAAACAAACTGAGGGTTCTAGAGGGGAGGGGGTGGGGGGATGGGTTAGCCTGGTGATGGGATTAAAGAGGGCACGTTCTGCGTGGAGCACTGGGTGTTATGCACAAACAATGAATCATGGAACACTACATCCAAAACTAATGATGTAATGTATGGTGATTAACATAACAATAAAAAATAAAAAAAAAAGTGGCCAGAGGAAGTGAATAGACACCTTTCCAAAGAAGACACACAGGTACATGGCAAAGCGCTCAACATCACTCATCATCAGGGAAATACAAATCCAAAGTACAATGAGATATCACCTCATACCTGTTAGAATGGTTATCATCAAAAAGACAAGAGATAACAAATGCTGGTGTGGATGTGGAAAAAAGAGAATCCTATGTACTGTTGTGGGAATGTAAATTGGTACAGAAACACACTGAAAAACAGTGTGGAGGTTCCTCAAAAAACTAAAAATAGAACAGCCATATGATCCAGCAATTCCACTTTTAAGTATGTATATGCCTGAAGGAGATGAAATCACGATCTCAAGGAGGTATCTGCACCCTCATATTCATTGCAGCATTATTTACAATAACCAAGATATGGAAGCAACCAACCTGAGTCTCTAATGACAGATAAATGGACAAAGAAAATGTGGTATATATGTGGAATATCATTCAGCCATAAAAAGAAAGAAATCCTGCCATTTGCAACAACATGGATGGACCTTGAGGGCATTACGCTCAGTGAACATAAGTTAGATGGGGAAAGACAAATACTGTATGACCTCACATTTATATATGGAACCTAAAAACAAACAAAGAAAAAACAAACTCATAGAAAGACAGAACATACTGATGGTTGTCAGAGCTGAGGGTAGGAATTGGGATAAATAGGTGAAGGGGGCCAAAAGGTATGAACTTGCAGTTATAAGATAATAAGTCATGGGGAGGTAATGTACAGTGTGGTGACTATAGTCACCACAACACTGGATTGTATATTTAAAGTTGTGAAGAGAGTAGATGATAAAGGTTCTCATAGAAAAATAATTCAACCATGTGAGGTGATGTGTGTTAATTAAATTTATTGTGGTAATGATTTCCCAAATCATTATCATGTATACCTTAAATGAATACAGTGTTATATGTCAGTTGTATCTCAGTACAACTGCGAAAATATTTAAGCAAACATAAAAGAACCCATCCAGCCTCACCCAGCCTCCCAAAAGTGAAGCTGATCTTTACAGTCTCCCTGCAGTCTCAGCAGATAAGCCCACTTTGCCCAGGACTGCTCTACCTGTGTGCTAGAATCCTCTCCTCTCTCTGGAGAAAGGGCCTCACTCTACCAGTCATCACCTATCTGCTTGTCAAATAGTTTTTGGAGTGTAAACACGCTCAATTTTCACCATCTTTGAAGCAAAATAAAGAAACAACTAATGATAAAGATCACACACACACACTCTCTCTCCTTCTATGTCAGCTGCTGTGTGCCTGTCTGAAAGTCATTCTCTTTCTTGAAGGGTTAACTTTCTATTCCCTTCTACGTCTTAAGAATTTTACTTCTGGGAATCCATATGACCGCCAGCCTCCTTCCAGCTTTATCCCACGTACAACCTCTTTCTAGAGCCCTGAACAGGCCGTGGAGTCCCTCGCATCCCCGGGTGTTTCTTTCTGTCTCTAGCATGGGGCACAGTGAACCAGGCAGAGCAGGTGCACAGGAACACAGAACGGCTCACCACAAAAACCTCGTCAGCCCACTGCCCATCTCTCACGCTCTTCCTTCTCTTCCCCTCATGAGAGGGTCTGTACCTACAATCTTGAGTGGAAGTCCTATTAGCAGAGCCTATTTTCTACCACCTGGCCCTCTCCAACCTTGGTCACAACATTGTGTAACTATTTGCTAACATGTTTTATCCACCACGAGACTCTGACTTCTAAAACCTAAGGATCTAGTGTCACTTACCTTCCCATTTGGAGCACCTACAATATAGAAGGTCTCAAAAATTATCTAAAGAAAAGGAGGTAAGGAGGGAGGGGAGGAGAGGGACACTTTTGAGCAACAGGAAAGCAGCGAGGTGTGGGGGAGGATTTACATGACCACAAGGTGAAAATGATCAAAACAAAAGATACCCAATTTCAGAATTCTCACTTCATTTAATGTAAAAATGGAAATTATTTGTCACAGGGTTAACATTATATGTTTAATTAAATGAAATACAAGTTGTCTTCTATACCTACTCAAACTCTTTAAAATTCCCAATACACATTTTATGCTAGATCCAGTCTCCCCATTTACCTCAATGGAGAGTATTAATCCCTATCACAAGACTATTTAATGTTTGCATCTTAAAAAAGACAATGTATAGCAATAATACTAAAGTAATACAAAGCATCTGCCTAGGCCTTTCCAGGTAATGGGGCCCTTATTGCAGAGGTAAGTCATTTATTTCGTGACCACTTGAAGAGTTCAACAAAACAGGGTTGTTATTTTCACTTTACAGTTGAGAAAATTGAACTTCAGAGAGGTTAAGAGGTACATACGCCTTGGAGCTGTGAATAAAATGAAGAAGGTGAAGGTAAAAAGGAGAAATATTAGATCTGCTCTCTTGAAAACGCTTCAGTGGGAGAAACGTAATCTTAATCAGCAGCAACAAATACTTATTCAGCATTTACCTCTTGGAACCCAGCTCTGTCTTTCCTGTGATAGAAATTTTATCAAAACAAAGAGCAGGCATCACTTCACAGCCCTTCAGATAGCAAATCTTTTTGAGAGAGCTGGGCCTTTCAAATAATTTACTCTCTGAATGCTCTGAAATTCTAGGGTGGCAGAAAAAAGTAATCATTAACTATTTACCATCTATATGGCTAGAATACAATTTTCTTGGTTAAACTCGTGATACAGTAAAGAGTTTCCTTCTCTGTGTGTGATGTGCACATACTTTGGATGGTTCCTGGATAATCAATATGTGTTTGTTCAGGAATAACACTGTTCCCCTTTGCCCAGAACCTTCATGTTTCTCTTATCTTATTCTGTCCAACTAGAGTTATTACCATGCTGGCTTCTTTTTGGTGTGTGTGTGTGTGTGTGTGTGTGTGTTGCCTTTACTAGCTGTTTTTTCAGATCCTTTTATGTAGCCATCCTTTTGCCAATTTTAGATACCTGGAACAACATCTTCTTTTAAATAATAGAATCATGAACAAGAAGGATTCTCTATGTCCACTGCCATTGAAATGCTAATACTTCCTGAAGTATGTCTAGAACTCAAACACTAGATTGCAACAAGAAAATATGTGCAACAAGTAGTGGATTATGAGTGATTTTTGACTCTTTTTCTAAAAAACACAATTTTAATGGTTTATATTACCTTGGCAACAAATACAGAAAAGTATTATAGAATACTGTAATTGTGGCATTTTTGCTTTTACAACATTTTGGAGATAATATATGTGTGTGTGTGTGTGTGTGTGTGTGTATCCAAATATATATATATATGTATATATATATATAAATTTTTATGCTAAATGAATGTGATCAGGAATAAAACTCACATTTATAATTTGCCCCCAGGGAAAAAAGTGACTTATTTATCCACAGTCTGTATTATGACTACTTCCCAACTTGTTTTGATGAAAAGCAGGGATGTCTCATCTTTCTTGCTTTCCGTTTCAGGACTAAACATTAGGAGGCAAGCGATGTGCATGAGACTTACCCACTCTTCCTCATCATAGTCTGAATGATGTGGTATGGAGTCCTGCCTTTTCATCGGCGGGGGTGGGTCCTGGGGACAGCTCTCCTCTGTGCTATTCTTAGGAGACGGTGGTTTCTTCAGGACACCTCCTGGTCTGGCAGTGTAGAGGGCTAAAAGAGCACTTCTGACCAGCTGATCCTTGAAGGCATGTACAAAAAGCTCTGTCTGGAAAGAAATTGACAAGGATTAGAAACACCGTGGTAGGCATCCCAGCACAGAGCTATGGAAAGGTCAACAGCAGATTTGTTGGCAAATAAGTGGTGTGCCTGGTAGAAAAAGTACAGGTAACAGAGAGAGAAAATGATTCATACCAATCAATGAAAATAGTTGAGTTTTGGGATGCTGCCAAGGCCTTGAGTCCTCCTGTTCTAAAAGTTAATGCTAAGGTTCTGTGGGCACTATAAACACCAGCTGTCTCCTCAGCCCCCTCTCTTTTAGTTCCAAATTCTGTCTTTGAAGATGAATTTCACTAGAGATAATAATTTGAACACCATCTACCTACTGCACTTTTCAAATAATTCCAAATGCACCTTAAAAGAAAATGTGATAAGACTATGTATATTCTATATTTTAAGCAGAATGAAAGTCTAAAGGAAGATGCATCTTAAAAATAGGGGCAGAAAATTTTTTTTCTTCTTAGCATCATGAGTAGATTTTAACAGTAGAGATGACACAGGCAGTCTTCCCATGAAAATATTTGGTTTTTATTCCTTATTATCACCCCCTAAACTGTCTCCTCCACCAAATGGTTTCAGTAATACTCAGTGTTAATGAGGCTGCTGTGAAACTTGCCATGGTAGATTTTTACAAGCTGGTGGTAAATAGTAAGTACTATAGAAATGACGGCTCCCAACAATAAAGAACTTTACAGTAGTACTTTGCAATTTCCTGATGAAATGTTTAATAGCTTCACCCTGTACTCTCCTGGAGGATGCTGTAATTGATTTTCTGTATTATACTATGCTTAACATGAATGTGGTCTAACAATCTACTCAGTCAAAGAGTAGAGAAGTAACTCAAGCATTGACTCATATTGTTAACACATTCACACTTTGTAATGTTAGGAAGGAACCCTTTAACTCAATGCATTATTTTGAATAATAGTTGATGCCATCCCCATTTAACGAGACGCTTGGATGTAATGCTGACTTCACCATCACTGTAACTCATAGTAATCCTTTCCTGGCACATTCTCGATGTGCAGTCAACAATGGCACGTCTCACTAATGGTTACTAAATTATCCCGAAAAAACCCCTGTTATGAGTGTCAGCAATTAAAGAAAACCAGCTAAACCCCATGCAAAACAATTGCCTAATAAGACTATGTTATATTTACAAAGTTAAGTCTTTGCAATCAGTCATGAAGTTCTAGAGCTGGAAGAGACCTTAAAGCCAGACCTCTTCATTAACCAGATAAGGAAATTAAGAAACAAGGCTGGTGCCTTGTCCTAGAACAGACTGCTTACTGGTAACACAAATGGAACAGAGCCTGAGTTTTCTAACAAATTCAGTAGCTTTTCCCCTTACTCCACACCACCTACCAACCCACCATCACCTGCATGCTTCTGTCCTTCTTCCCCTTCTTCCTTAACTCCAAGTTCCCCGAGTGCTTTGGATATCTATCCACTCTCATTCATGTCTACAATTGCCAATGTAACTATCTTCACTGTTAAACTTTACTGGATGTTTTTAAATACTCTTCGAATCTATTGGTCATATTGAGAGCACTCTGAAGGTAAGTAGACAAGAAATATTAAAAAAAAAGAATATACAAGAATAAAAGGTTGAAAAATATTTTGGTAATGAATTAGGAAAACAAAAGAAAAAGTCAGCTTATACTGAAAAGGCACAAAGAGAAGTGTTAATTGATGTTCACAATGAAGTGTTAAAATGAGAATGAAAGTTACCAAAAAAATACTGATGAAAAATTTAGCTAGACAGTACTCAGACAAGGCAGTATAGTTAAAGCAAAATGGGGAAACATGTTATTTACATAATTTTCATACAGCATGGATAGATCCATCAATGTGAATTTAAATATTTAAAAATGCAAATTTACTTCCATTCAGCTTAACTAAACTATTTCTTTATTGATAGTTTCAATAAATTCTTTTGATTTATTTTTAGAGCAAAACAGCTTGCCTTCTTTGAATTCCTGCTACTACAGCTCCAGGCTCCATAACAGTCACCTAATTACTATGTAGCTGAATATCTACTCACACCCAATGAAATCTACAGTTCTTATAATTGCCATCATTTTCTTCCCATTGCATGCATGCACAGAGATTCCACTCCATTTATTCAAATCTCATTTGGGTTGATTTATCACCAAAGACATCAAAGATAATACACTATATTCTTGCAATTTTACAACCCAGAATTTTCTTGGGGGGTAGCTGAATGAACACACAAAATCTTATAGAAACACTTGTGTCTATATTGAAAAATTGATTTGACTCTTTGGAAACTCTCTGAATCACCAAGATCCTTTGCACGGAATTGCACTTTATTAGAAAATAGCTAAATATTCCATTGCTATAACCATATGACCTACAAATTTTCTTGACCAGCACTACTTAGTAAATGTAGACCAATGTAGACCCTGATGTTTTACAGTCAAAATAAATGAGCTTGAAGAGATTAATGTAATCACTCAATTCCAATACATTTGCATGCTGCTGTTGTTGCAACTGAGATGATATTAGGGAAGTTAAAGTCATGAGAAGGATGTGACCATGTCTCTGAGTTGCCCATTGACTCAAAGTATTGAAAACCTTTTTCCTTTTCTGACTCAGCTCACACTGCAATAAAGGAAACAAAAAGGCTGTCTAAATGTTATCCTAAGGGTAGGCAAAACAATTTATTTAAAATAGTTTAATAGGGGCGCCTGGGTGGCTCAGTCGTTAAGCGTCTGCCTTCGGCTCAGGTCATGGTCCCAGGGTCCTGGGATCGAGCCCCGCGTCGGGCTCCCCGCTCTGCGGGAAGCCTGCTTCTCCCTCTCCCACTCCCCCTGCTTGTGTTCCCTCTCTCGCTGTGTCTCTCTCTGTCAAATAAATAAGTAAAATCTTTAAAAAAATAAAATAAAATAAAATAGTTTAATAATACAGTAAAAAAAAAAAGCATAAGCTCTGAACCTAAGGTAGATCATTTCATTTGTTTGGTATAAAAGAGAAATGTTATCTTAAAAATGAAATGTTTTCTTGCCTCCTGACATTTTTCCAATTCATATTCTCATACAAGTATTCTTCAAAGTATCACACAGAATTATCTGCAAGTATAAAACCAGTAAAATTACCTCTCCTGGGTATGAATTTCCTAGATTCCTAAATATTAATGGCAGAGAAATAGTTAGGAATATGTTTATTTAAAACCACCCTTTTTAACTGGATCTCAACAAATTAAGCAAAGTACCATTCTATTTAGAATCTCATTTTTTCACTGAAAAAATTCAAAGCTATGCCTAATTCCACCTGCAATACAGAAGTAGCCAATGACATAAACAGGTGATTATATTGTAGTAGTCATGTATATGGCAAAAAAGAATCCTGTTTTTTTCTGGACTCTACCACTCTCTATTGTTTTACACCCACTAGCTTCATTTGTTTTCATCGGTTGGTTACATTGGTTCCTATTTGATACCATTTGATTTCTTTTTTATGATTGAGGTATAATTGACATACAATATTATCAGTTTCATGTGTACAGTATAAGGATTCAACATTTATATACATTGCAAAATTATCACCAACAATAAGTCTGGTTATTTTCATTTTTTAGAGATTATTTATTTGAAGCGGGGGCAGAGGGAAAGAATCAAGCAGACTCCCCAGTGAGTGGGGAGCCCTGTGCAGCTTGATCCCATGACCAATGAGGTCATGACCCTAGCAGAAACCAAGAGTCCGTTGCTCAACCGACTGAGCCACCCAGGCACTCCCGGTTATTTTTAAAAAATAGATAAGCTTTAATTATTTCATAGGGCAATAGTGCTATACTCTGTAATTAGTACATTAATATGTGTTCAACATTTCCCCCAAAAAAGAATATTGAACCTTCAGGACAGTTACTTGACCTCTGAGCAGATCATACAAATTATTCACTTGACCTTGGCGAAATCACATAACCACTTTTCCCTAGTTTGCACAAAATTACAATGCCTATCTGTGAAACCCTCATGGCAGTTCATTGTAAACCGCGAAGTGCACTCTTCTATTTATGCTCCATGGTCCTCTTTCTTGAATGATCTGTTCAGTTTCCTTTGTTGACTCATCATTCCAGGCTCATTTAAAATATGGTAAGTTGATCCTAAGGGACCTTAAACCACTTTCTTGCAAGCATTTTTTTCCCTACTGGTGATATAATGCATTTCTCCACAGCGTCAACTATCATCTTTATGCCCCCGTCTCTAAAATCCATCTCCACCCACCTCCTGAACCAGCACTGTCACCTATTTCCATAGGAAAGTCTTTCAAGGTTAGAAGTCACAGCCTGATCTCAAGTGTTTTTAATAAATGTGTTCTGTCCAGCTTTTCAAACTGTGTGGTACTGTCACTATGCAGCAACGCAGAGTGAAAATGTCTGGATCATCTTCAGCAATACTTATTTCTATATTAGTCATTAATTTCTACTAGTTATACCTTTTCAGTAATTTCAAAGATTAGTCCTTACTTTATATTTCCACAGCTAGTCCAAGTTAAGATCCTTTCTACATTCCATGTGGATACTTCCCATAGTCTCCTTACTGGTTGATTTACTTTTCTTAAGCTAATGCTTCTTTTTAGAGGATGCTTTTCAAGGCCACCAATACTAACATGTAGATTCCTGAGTCCCAGCTCAAAACTGCTGAAACAGAATTTTTATTTTTTAGCAAGCTTCCCCCAAGAGGAATCCTGACATTTTGCAATGGCCAATAACGTCCAATAAATCAAATTCACAGTCGTGGCTCAGTTTCTCTATTCCTATGAGGATGGTCTTCACCAAACATGTATCCAGTCCTTCCTTATTCAATTACCTTCCAACTTATGTAAGAGACTTTCTCGTGGGAGAGTAACCAGGAGAGGGATGGCTAGATCATATACATATATGACCGTATAAATATATGTGTGTATATATATATATATATAAACTTTATGAGATGCTGAATTGTTTTTCAGAGTGTACAAATAATT